GAGAGAGAGAGAGAGAGAGAGAGAGAGAGAGAGAGAGAGAGAGAGAGAGAGAGAGAGAGAGAGAGAGAGAGAGAGAGAGAGAGAGAGAGAGCCGGGGGGGGGTGTCAAATCTTTACATGCTGAGAAGTTCTGCATTCAACTCCTACCGACGATTGCTGCCAAAATTTCAAGATGCCATCATGACATGAAAAAGTACCAAAAAGTTCAAAAACATTGCCAAACACTTTGGGAAAGTTACATCCTCGGACATGGCATGAGGTGCAAGTCGTGAGACCGCAATCTTTTCTGGAGGAGTAGAACCAGCCTCTCGTCAAAATGATAAGCATAGCGCCATGGAATACCAAAAAACTGGCAGTTGAGAATGGGATGGGTCCAAAAAATGCAGTCACATGCTAACAAGGCCTGATTACAGCCCAGTAAGGCCTTCTGCCAGCATCCATGTTCCATGTTTGAGTTCGACATACCTGGATATTTAGTGTGGTGAAGTTGACTAGTCCAAAGTCCTCGACCACTCCACAGAGTGCCGCTGTTAGCTTCCTTCGCACAAGAGAGAGAGAGACACACACAGAGGCACAAAAGCCCATTTAGGGTGCGAGCAAGCGAAGCGAGAACTTTTTAAGTTTTAACTCAATATTAGCACCAGCTCTTTTGTTTCCTTGGTTAGTTAACTTAGTTTCTTTTCACAAAATAGGTTTCTTCAGATTTTTGTCAAATGGTCTATATACTATATAGTATATAGTATATACTGCACCTTCTACTGGCTCGCAGTGGTTTGTCTTGCCATGCACTTTCCACCCCAATACCGGTAGTGCTCCCAACACTCTTTTCCCTCTCTAACTCCACGCAGCTCTCTGTAGGACTTGCCCTTCCCGTGACCTCTTGCTGACCCTTTTAAGGGGGCAGATTCCTTAGTCATTCCTTCATCCTGAACAACTACCTCACTGTTCTCTCGCTGTTGTGTGTTGTCCATGGCTGGAACTTCATCTACCTCCTCCTCCTCCTGACTTCCATCCTCATCAGGGGTGACCCTTCATCTTCCACTCCCAGGGAAGCCTCTTCTTCACCCGTACTGACCCGCCCTTCCCGCCCTTAACCACACTACCATTGCTCAGCTTTGCCTCTAAAAGACTTAAGACCATCTACCTCTTCCTGAGGGATGTGAAGTTATTCCTAGTGGTAGTGGCCTCATTCACTACCGTCTTCACCCGAAAAGAACGTCCGGTCATTATAGCCGTATTTGGCATAACTTTCAGCCCAGATACGGCGATAATTACCGGGCGTTCTACTCGGGTGAAGACGGTAGGAAAGGCCACCTCCTGCGCATCGATATGATATCGCACACATGTGAGATAACTTGATCAATGTAAAGGAGGTGACCCTTCCTAGCGAATGAGGCGACACCTCCTGGTGATCGAATGCCTGGCACCCCCATTCATGACATGGTAGGTAGGATTTCCGCATCATATCGAATGCCTGGCACCCTTATCAGTTCTTTAAACTTCTTTTGCTTTCTTGGTGACGATCTTGACATCCCTATGCATACGAGTATCAAGATTCTTGAGCTCGCCAGTAGCTGTTTGAGCTTGTCGTCTATCATGCCACTGTTCTTCTTTCTACAAGTACTATGCACTGATCCATTGCGGCGTGCTAAGCCCATGCGTCCGTGTCACATCCATAGCCAGCCTCTGCTTATCCCATGTCATCTAACGGTTTCTAACCATCTTGGTGCAGAGCCTTGCAGAGACGAGGTTGCAAGAGTAAGTTCCTTGTCTACGTGTGTCCGTTGCCCTCACATACACTGGCACAGATTTCAGCCATACGTTAGGTTTTCATCTTTCTTGTCCCTGTGAACACAACCGGCTGCATCATAGATGTCTTTGCAAAGGATGGAGGTTGTGACAGTCCTACACTGTAGCTGGAGGCACTGGCGGTGAACGAGTCTGCACTCGGGTCTGAGATGGACCTGGGCCTAACTCGCTGGCACGAGGCATACCATACTGAGGAACAAAGTGCCCTGATATTGGCGGTAAGGCCATGGGCGAAGGCGCTAGAGGTCTGGGTGTTATGATCGTGCTAAAGGGAACAAATTTCCTCTTGTGAGCTGCTGCAACATAGCTGTCATCTGGTCCAGCACAGCATGTATGGAGTCTAACTTGCTTTCTGTAGGCCCACTACATTCTGTTTCCGCCATTTATCTTCTGGTCGCAAACTACTATCATCCAGTGCTGCTACCTTTTCTATACTTGCCTCTCTGTTATCCAGTAAGGTTTTTCTAGCTAAAGCTCCGTCTTTCCCTCTTTGAGCCTCTTGCTACTCAGCCGTCAACTCCGCATGGAGGTTCTGCGCATCCTGATACATCTGCCCTAAGGGAGTGAGGGCTGGAGGCTGGTTCACCTGAGAACTAACACTCTTGCTAATCTGTGACCCTGTTGTTAGACTCTGAACGCTTGCCCCGGCCGGAGATGCTTGACTACCGTCTTCACCCGAATAGAACGCCTGGTCATTATAGCCGCATTCAGCCCAACTTTCAGTCCAGATGCAGCGATAATGACCGGGTGTTCTATTCGGGTGAAGACGGTAGCCACACTGGTACCTGTACCTGATGTGACCATGGCTGCTACGGTAGTGCCCTTGTTGCTTCTTCAGCGGCCCTAGCAGCTCTCTCTCTCTCTCTCCTCCCCCTCCTAAGTCAGGCTTCTGTTCCTGGGTCTAATGCCTGATGATAGACATAAGGTAGACTTGAACAAATCTCCTTGCCACACGCCGGTCACCTTCCTCATCACTACTGCTCATGCGGAGTGGCAACAACAACTACCTACACAAGAACAGTCTGTTCTCCGTTAAAATTGGAACGATACAGAGAAGGAAGATAAGCATGGCCCGTGCACAAGGATGACACACATAACTCGAGAAATGGTCTATCAAAAAAGAAAGCCGGGCTGAAGTTTCAAGGACGCTACCACATTTAGACCTACACAATATACAACTACCGTTCAATCGGTTCTATAAAAGACAATTCAACTACCACTCACACTAAGCAGATTTCCAATGAGACTGCACACTGCCAGTTTGGACACAGCAGTCTGCCTGTAACAATCTGTTCCATGAAAGACTATGCAACTACCACTCAGACTTAGCAGATTTCCAATGTGGCTGTACACCATCAGTTTGGGCCACTAGCGGTTAATGGAAGGCCAAAAATTCGGGGTTTTTCGCCGCGTCGCTACAAGCAATGTTGTCGAAACTTTTGCGAATAAACTATGCAGGGTCATAATACAAACATAAAAAAAAAACAATCAGGCAAAAGAAAAACGAAAAAATCAAACTTGAGAGCACTATAAATCCCTATTCGGTGTAGCTTTCGGAGTTCGCCAAAGTTTTTTTCGAGTCTGGTGTTTTTGCTAAGTTTTTTGTTACTGCTTCAAACACGGCAAAACGGAATACAGATATACCCTAAAGCACATATATAACAGGCAAAAAGAAAAACTGAGAAAAAAGTAAAAATTCAGGGAAATATGACAGTTTCGGTGAAAAATTCGCCAAAATTCGCCGAATTTTGGGCCTTCCATTAACGGCCTCTTGTTTGGGCTCAGCAGGCTGTCTGTCCAGCAACTAATCAAACAGAAACTGTAAACTGCTACCTGGTAGTAGAATACATCACATGCGGAACACAAAAATAAATATACAAGCGCTATACAGCTGGAACCTACCACCTTCCTATATGATCCAGACATTGTCAATGTGACATCTTACTGGTGACTTATCGTGAAATGCAGTGTCTTACAGCAAACAGGACCCACCCCAGTGCACCGCCTTTACAGCCGATGACAGGACCCGATCAGGGATTATTTAGAGTCGCAAACAGGACGGCTTCACATTGATCCCAGGCAGGTTATCTTTGTAAACGTTCCAAGAACCGTCTTTCCTCCCTTTCCCAGGACACCACACTTGAAGTCTCTATCGCGCGGCTGAAGCTGAGTGTGAACTATGTGTGCACTGATCCAATGAGCTGTCTTTCGACATGGGGTTGTGCTTCACCACCCAGGGCGCTTTACAGGCACGGCTTTTCTCCCACCAGATGTGCCAAAAGAATGTTGACTCTCAAGGTAGCGTGCTTTCACATTCTCACAAAGAGAGGACTCTCGAGTCGACCAATTCCCCGTGTAAGAAGAACCACGGATGGTAGATAAGGCTCTGGTCATGTGCCTTACAATGCTTCCCTCCAACCTCAGATTATCTCATCAGTTGTAATGCTGTGCCGATCGATGACTGGTCAAAGCTACAAAACCACCAACAATAAATGCAAGTGCCTCCAGAAAGAAAACAATGGAGTTCATCAACATCCTCTCACCACATGCAACATACGCCAATCATCTCTCTCTCTCGCCAAACACACTCTTACCTTGTGCCTGGTTTACTTCCAGCGAGAATGTGATCACATTGCCCTACTAAACCAGCGGCCACTGCTTAACCTATCTCGCCGGCGCCAAGTGGCGAGTGTCTACAAACCTGCTTCGATACCAAATTGCAAGGAACCATGCAATGAGAACACCAATAGACTTTTTTTAAGGTTTTTTTTTTTTTTTCATGAGAATATCAGGAAACTATGATTGAGAAGGACGCCTACCAGCATTGATTACTCTGTCTCGAGAGGATTGACTGTGCAGGTTGTTGGAAAAAGGGGATAAACCTCTTCACCCTGTACCAAGTGCCAGATTCCTACTGCTAAGAGACGAGTACCTCCCTCTCCCAACTACCTTTTACCCTCTCTGTTTCACTCTCATGAAAGGTACAGATTACTGGAAACAGGGTCCAGCATCCCATCACTGTTTACAATCCTCTACCGAGAGCTAGACCTAAGGGTAACTCTCCAATCTAAGAGAAGTAGTGATAGTTGCATCGGGCGAACAGAGGGCCGCCTCCTCAGTCTGTACCAGACCGCCAGATCACACCTGTTACCCTAGTGGCAGCCTCCAATTCCTCTGGATGACAGTTCTCAGACATCTCTGTATTTGCCCCATGTCACCCGTTTAGTCCGCGCAGGTCTTTTGTCTAACAGGCTAGAAATTGCTCATGATCCTATTCTTAGCCGAAGTCGGGTAATGGCCCCGGTATCTCGAGTTTTTTCCGTATATGTTTTCCACATGTTCCTAATGGGACGCTGGGCGTGGTTCCCAGCACATGCGGCTCCCCATGAATAGATTGGAGCATTGTCCCAAAAAAAAAGAAAAAAAAAAGAACACCAATAGACTAGATTGCGACATCTCAAAGAAGGCCAGACATAATTGAGCCGAGTTGAAAGGAGAAAATCAAAGCAAAATGCATACCAAACAGGAGCAAGCAATACACCAAAGTCTCTTGATGAAGGAAGCCCCTCTTCCACCTCCAATCATCAGAACATCAACAATGCAGCAGTATACTGGCGGCCTGACCACTCTCTACTTCCTAACTCCTATCAGTCTAGCACATCTGCATGCCGGCTGTCTGTCCACATGTCCATTGCCCGAAGATTCTGCTCACACAGACTTCCCCTCGTCAACACCATGTAAGTTCCTTTAGTCCCCACTGCCTTCCTCTCCTGCGGACCTCCACACTTCCACTGCCCAGCAAGCTAGCGCCCAGCCAGCTATGACTGGCGCCCTTCTCCCTTGCGGCCACGGCAGCAGCTTCCTCCATGGGTGCCTCGCTCAGCTGCCGCACAAGCAGCACTGCCACATTGGCACAATGCCCAAATGTGCCTGGCTGGCCGGCCTCCTNATGGGTGCCTCGCTCAGCTGCCGCACAAGCAGCACTGCCACATTGGCACAATGCCCAAATGTGCCTGGCTGGCCGGCCTCCTCTCTTTTGTGTAGGAGGAGGCAGGACGCGGCAATCTTTGCCTGTCCTAGTACACATGTCCCAGTACACATTCCCTCAGCGCGACTTGGACTGACGAAGTGCCCAGCCTCCGCAATCGACCGAGTCTCTGGCCCCGACAGTTGGTTAAAGAGGATGGATTCTACCAACCTTCTGGAGGCCTCATCCAGGCCAGCCTTCACTTAGGGCTGGCTTCAATTTGTCTAGCCCTCCTTCACTTAGGGCGAGCAGGGCCTCTACCTGTATGGCCAAGGAGCCTGGATCCTTGCACAAGAGAGCACAGAAGACAAAATCAAATCACACGCACCATGACCTCTCTTGCCAGCAGGCACATTGCAGCCAGACTGGCAGCAAAAACGAAAAAGCAACGACCACGCCAGCTCAAGAGCAAACAACATCGAAGTCACTTTGATGATGGAAAGCCCCCTTCTCGCCTCCAAAAGTCAATCCAACATCAACAATAACAGTTCCCTGCCCTTGCTGGCCTCTCTATCAGCAGGTACAAGACGGTCGGCCCACCGGCGTCTTCCAACAATCAATTAGTACTGGCATCTTCCACCAATGTGTGCACGAAGATCATGTCAGACTGGAGCTCTTCTTGGCGGCCTCCAGGTAAGTCACTGGCCGGCTGCTTCTTCTCCTCCATGGCCTTCCCCTTTCATCAAGGATCTCCCCTTCTACCACCACCTCCGTTCTACGGCTCAGCGCCCCCAACGATAGGGCGCCGATCTTCTTCCTCATGCTGCTATGCCTGCTGCTGGCTGGATGCTGAGTGTTCCCCTCTCCTGCTAGCGCTGCTCGACTAAGCACCCTGGCAGTCTCGTGGCATCCTACATCTAGATTTTAGAATAATATTTCCATCTGCCCCCACGTCTCCTTAAATACCAGACCCAGGTCCCTGTTCAGCTGGTGGGCACTGCCTTTCTGAGTCTTCCCATTATGACCGTGCCCTGCTGGGTCCCAGACAACCCTACGGGGTCCCTATCTTAAACCGCCAGTCCAAGACCCCAGCCTTGCTGAAAAAGAAACTTGTGCCTACGGAAATTTTGGAGGCTCGTCCTACCAGACCACAATGGCTGGTGGCGCCAGCCAAAAAAGAAGAAACGTGCGCTGCTGGCGGTTCCGAAAAGCTTGGCGCGCAGCAAAGCACCTGCAGGCCCGGGTGTACTGGTGGTCTAAGCCCCGATCCATTTTCGGTGCGATAAAGCTAGGCCTGCCCTGTCCTTCATTTCTTCCGGCCGGAGCTCAGAGTCTACCGGTCCTCTGGTGTGTGCTCACTGCTTATCAATCAGTCCTTCCTTAATTGCACCCTTAGCGAACACAAGTGGTTCCTTGGGCTGAGGCTTCTGATATAGAATTAAGAGTATTTACTATTTAATGATGCTCTTGTTATTCCTACCAATACAGGATTGTGGAAAACAGTAATCCACAACAGCAACTCAAACAACTTTTGGCTGAAAGTCAAAATTCCTGGTCTAACTCACAAGGAAACATTCAAGAAAAGAAGACTCCCTTTCCGACGACAACCCTTGGTCTAATTCGCATCCAGATTTGTCTGGACTCTGGTTGAAATCCAAACTGCACACTGGCATCACAGTCTTGAGAAAAGGCACATGGGAGCATGGCAGGAAAGGATAGGGGGGAGGCGGAAACAAGGGAAAGAAGGGGAAGCCAAGCAAGCATTGGGAATGTCGAGGGTGAACATAGCTTGACATATTTGTTTTGCATACACGTCACAAGCACTTAGGTACGCATTATGTGCTAGGCATTGCCAGATCCAAGAAATAGCCTTGCACATTGCATCATAGGTGTGACATACGTCTATAATCATCGCTTCTGTGGATACATACCGGTACTTTGCATGAGATGCATCTTGATTCATGTGATATTGCAGGTAGCTCAAATCTAACACATCAGTGTAAAAGTCCAGTCCAAAAGCTGCACATAACAGTGATTTCAAAAGAAGGCTGCTGGTTAAACATGGCCAACTGAATCCATGATGGACCCAATGTGCACATCAATGACCCTTGTCAACAAGCATCATATGGGGGGGGCACACTGCTGCAGCTGAGCAAAGCAAGGCTGCCACAGTGATCTGGAAGAAGATTACCTGGCATCCAAGGACAGGGTTGAACTTTCAATGCAAATGGAAAATGGGAAGTACTGTACCGGACGTTTTGGGATGTGCTTTTGAAACAACTAGCAAGAACACACATTGCTGCCCATCGCCATATCTTCTCGGTAATGGTCATACTTGCAGCGCACTTCTGCAGTGCGCCGTGTGGTGCGCGTGTGCCATTCGCCATGCAAATTACTGATGCGGCATATGTGCTCGATTTTTTAAAATTATATTATTATTATTATTATTGTTACTATTATTTCGACGGGTGTGGGTGTGTATACAGG